GTTACATAATAATCATATAGCAGACTAGCCTATTGAACAGACACTGTTTATTTTGTAATAATAACTATCTATCTGATATAAATTAATATCGATATTACTAACGACAGAAGTAGAGCGTTGTGTACTTGTGTTTGTTTTATTTGTAACGAAAACGAGTAGCGTGCTTTACGATAAGAAGCTTTCTATGTTTGTTAGCAATTCAAGGTAGTGTACAACAGGCATCTCGCTCGATTTGGAGCATCCAGTTATGAAAGCATATTCCATTTCATTGAAGAAGGTATAATGTCATGTATTTTTTATTAGACGCAGTATCTATACACTCCACCTGATGTTAAGACTGAAAGGTGGTGTGAATAGATATGTGGAGTCCGATTCACCATTCAGACACCTTTCCTACCCCTTGAAACTAAAGAAAAAAATCTTACTTACTAGCTGAAAAACAACTCCAGCAGAAGACGTGTTTGTGTGTTCTTCTGTAAGAAAGAGGTCAGGTATACGCACTTAACATCAAGGGGGTGCACGATTCATAAATATGTAATGATTGTTGAATCCAGACGGGTCCAGATAAGTAGAGTGATAAGCTAAAACTGTGTTATACACTACAATGACTCAATTGAACTTAATTTTAGTTCGTTATTTTGGCAGAAATTTCAGTTTTTGTATATTTTAGGTAAGGTTCCGGACCTCCTGAAATTTAGTTTATATATACATATATGAACCAAATTTCAGGAGATCCGGGACCTTAATGTCTCAAACTCGGCCGAATAAAGTAAATAAATAAATTTGGAAAATGGTGGTTACTTTTGGTTAGTGAATTAGAAAATTAAAATTTGGCTTACTATTATACCTTGTTATATATCAAATCAAGGTTTTAAACTTTTTTTTTATAATTTTATAATGAATAATTTAATAATATATTTAGGAAAAAAAATTAAAACTTATATCAGAAACCACTGCTTCAAAAAATAATCGAATGTAGCTCTTTGCTTGTAGATTACTGGTAAGATTGTAAGTAGTTTATAGCATAATGTTACAGAATCCTTCGTGCGCGAGTCCTACTGACACTTGGCTTTGGATCTTTGGACTTAGATCTTCATGTTAATGGTGATTGTAATGATATGCGTTTTTTTGTGTAGTTATGTTAGTAGTGGGACGTAGTAATGAATTTTAGACATAATTAGTGGTGTTTGCATTAATAATAAAATATGTATTATATTGATAATAGTTGACCCGGTGACCATCCTACCACAATTTTATTTCTATAAAGTTTTGTTTTTTAATTTTTCCTGACAATAACGAACACAATGAAAAAATAATTGTCCAATATTAAACAGTAGTTTGAAAGTTACGTCCGTACATATATTTCGGCGATTCATTTTTATAGATATTTATATAAATTGTAAATTGAAAAAGTCTTTGGTCAGAATTTGAAAATCCGAGAAAAAGTGCAATGTATGTTAGTGTGGAAATCCTTGGGGGAGGCCTATGCTCAGCACTGGGCGTAGTACGGCTGGTATGACTGTTTAATTTATAAAATTTGCATGGACTGACGATAAATCACGTATCTAATCGAATTACTTTTTAGTTATATTTAACTATCATCAAACAACGCCGGTTATCGCCTACGTTATAGAATATAAAAATACATATAGTCATAATCTATTGTTTTGATAGGTACCCATTCACACAGTGAAATGCTAATATCAAAACGTTTAACTACGAATGACGCAAAAGTTTTCTCAGGATTTGCAAACAAAACGAAATAATAGTCTGATGTTGACATCATGGGCTCGCGAATGAAAACATCTCTCTCACATAAGCATTGCACATGCACCGGTACAGTCGCTTGTATAAGAGAAACAATTTAAACACTATTAATGAAGAGAAACATTTTCGGTCACAAAAAATGTGAAAGGTAGGCCCAGAGGCTTTTGTTAAAGGACCACCGGAAACTAGCGTACAATAATTACTCTACATACCTATCAAAATAATTGTTATATAACAATCGATTTCTCTTCGTCAATAGTCTACATATATAAGTGAAGCGATTTGTATCCGAATTCAAACACTTCCGAGGTCCGAGAGCCATCGATTGTACGAGAAGATGATATCCAAAGTGAGTTGTGTAGTGAACCACAAAATGTGGACTGTGATAATCGTATAAACCAGTTTATTTAACAATCACAAACAATTTTCAGATTTTAGCTGTGATAACATTAGCAGCAGCTTGTACTGGCGATGCTGCAATAAATCATCATGAACCTCATAGTTCAGTGAAACATGCAGTATCATCGCAAAGCTTTGTTCGTCACGATGTACCATTGTCGTACAAACATACCGCTGTGCATATATATTCAACAGAGAAACCCTCAAATTATGTACACAAACCTGGCACGCCCGCGTATCAAATGTCAAGGCCAAATTACCAACCTCAAGAAATACAATATGCTCCTGTATTGCGTGAACAAAAGACGCAATATCCGAGCAACGCTCACATTATTCAAGATAATACAACACCACCAGCAGAAAAAAGTAACCTAGAACCGAAGCCACACAGTCATCCGGAATTGACATTTGTGCCTGGTTATAATATAGAAATATTACAAACAGTTAATAAGTATCCAGGACATAATGCGGTTTACAGAAGCTATCCTAATATGAAACCTCACGAAAAACTAAACAAGGTAGGTAACTTTTTAAAAATTATCAACCTACTGATAGGTATTATCAGTATTTTTTTCATTACATACTTTTTTTATGCAACCTTTAATAAAAACTCTTCAATTTCTATTTATAGCAACATCATCTCAAGCAGTTTGTACTCTACGATAGAAAACCAGAACATCTTCTCCCCGAACTTGTAGAAACAACTCAGCCAGCACCCACTTTTGACTTTGTACCCAAACAGTACAAAACGGATACTTCTAATTTGTAAGATTAAAGTTTTATTATTCTGGTAACTGTATATTCTGTACGTAACATCTGTTATTTATCAACGCTAAATTTAATTCAAATGCGTTCAACTGCATTAGCGCAAATAAATAACACAACCGAGAGAAATCAGTAGTATTGGAATTAGAAAACTTTTTGTCGTTTGTTTGAAAATATTTTTATCATAAAATAATTAATATAGTTTATTATAAAGATTAATACTTCAATCAATCTTATTTTGCCAAGTCGTACAGCTAGCAAGATAGTATAAAATCTGTAGTTTTACATTTTCTATAGACATTTGGTTTTTAAATATTTGATCAATAACTTCAGTTTCAAATCTTATACTGTATTCCAGATACAATACGGTCCCGATAATAACGGACCTTAACTCATTGGTCACTCCTCAGCTGGCAGCTTTGAACATACAGCTGCAAGGGTATCCGCCCCACCCCAAGGATCATAAATTGCACCTCAACGTAGCACGCGCCTACAACATTGCCAAACTGCCAGCGAAGGCGCCAAACGATATGGCCAGACTCAAGAAAAATACACATGGCAAAGCACAAGCTCTTTATCAGATCGCTAATGCTAAACTCAATAATGAACAGAAAACGCGATTGTTTCCAGTGATGTACAAAACGATATCTCAGTATTCTTAGCAGTTTTTAAGAATATAAAGGTCAAAGAAGATATAGACAAAGATCCCTTGAAATCAATCAATCGATCGTAAGAAAATGAAGATAAGCTAATTTTGATTAGATACAGCATAAGACACTTATTGAAGTAAAATATAATAAAATATAGTACAAAAGTTATTGCCAAGCAGTAATCTTCCAATAAAATTTATTGATAAAGAAATGGAAAACAATAAATAACTATAAAAGGGATAGCAGATATGCCCAGCATTTTAGGATCAGGAAAGGAAGATAACCTAGGGGACCCCCAGGGTCCATCTTGGAACTTAATTTGATATAAAAATTATTATTGGAATTTCAGAGGTTCAAAGGTGATGAAGAGGGGGTCAGTGTCACCTAAAAAATCGAAAATATACTATATTTTTCTATTTTATATTGTTACATGTTAAGATATCATAAACAATCAAACACCCCGGATTCACACGACAATCGCTAAATTCATGGTTTTTACCATTTTTTTTAATTACTATACAATTCAAAGGATACATGCAGAGTCAAGATCGAGATAATTGTAAATATAAATAAGAATAGTAATAAAAGTAATTATAGCTTATTTATATATAATAATATTGTAGTTTAGTGAAAATCATATTAAAATAAAGAACTTAAAGAAAACTCAAGATTCTTTTAATTATAAGCAATCAGTACTGTTTTGATGACGGGTTGGTGAATCGACACTCCTGCCTTCGGCTCAAAGGGTCCTTGGGTTTAAATTCCGATATGTCCATTTATTTTTGTAGGGTTCCCTCTATCTGGCAGAATGTTGATGCTCAGAAATTGATTATGGCATAACACATTTGGCATAATCTTCTTTAAACGAATATTTTTCTAAAAGTATTTTGGAAGGGAAATAAATTGCGATTTGTTTACTTTATAAAAATAATTGATAGAATACTTATCGTCTGGTAAGCAGATAGGTGAAAGACGATCTCTCTCTGGACACTTTCTATGAACATTGTAGCTATCTGCCTATAAAGGTACATGTAGATGGCTGAAATACTTATAATCTACCGACAAATGAACAGACGAAAGATAAGAATTAAATTTAAACATCTAGCAGTTAAATACTTAAAAAGGACAATATAATTATATAGAAATCAGTTTTTTAAGCCTCATAATACAAAAAGTGACTGATTGAATGAGAGAGAAGACTGTGACAGTTTCTTCAATATATTGACAAAACCTCGACAGCAGGCAAAAATAGTAAATCAGATAAACCAGTCTTTTAGAAATTTGAAAATATCCGCAAGAAACAAAATTGGGGATACAAAGTTCATAAGATCAGCACTTATAAGTAAAATTATATTGTAAAAGTTATCCTGTGCCGAAGGCTAGGGTTTGTCAAAATATGACCTGAGGCAAGGCCGATAAATCTACAAATCCAAACGAGACTGATACTATATAACGAATCGAATGTCATATTCTGTATCATTCAAAGTTTGCACAACGAAACAAAAACATGTTCTCCAAAGTAAGTCACAAGTCTTACTATATTAATTAATTACACAATGTTATCCCCCGGAAAGGATAAAGCTATAAGTGGGACATATTTGGATTCAGATAAAAATTTGGTAAAGAAAACAATTATTACAATAAACCTCTATTTTTCAGGTGGTATCTCTGTGCGCGTTTGTGGCAGTAGCCCGCGCTGGCCTGCTGGCCGCCCCCGCCCACTACTCGCCCGCTGAGGCCGTCTCCTCACAGAGCATCGTGCGCCACGACCAGCCCAAGGCTGTGGCTGCCAAGCTGGTAGCTGCCGCCCCCGTCTACCACGCCGCGCCCGCTGCCGTCGCCTACCACGCTGCCCCCGCCGCCGTCACCTACCACGCTGCCCCCGCTCCCGTCGCCTACCACGCTGCCCCCGCCCCCGTCGCCTATCATGCTGCTCCCGTCGCCAAGATCTTGGCTCACCAAGAAGAAATCGTAAGTTGCCCAATTCAACTAACAAATATTCCTCACGATGAAGATTTAGTAGATGTTGAAAAATATTGTTTCTCATCAGGCGTATCCCAAATATGAGTACACATACTCTGTGGCTGACGGGCACACCGGTGACAACAAGTCACAGCAGGAGTCCCGCGACGGCGATGTGGTGAAGGGCTCGTACTCGTTCCACGAGGCTGACGGCTCCGTGCGCACCGTGGAGTACACCGCTGACGACCACAGCGGGTTTAACGCCGTCGTACACAATACCGCCCCCACCGCAGCACCCGCCCTCATCAAGGCCGCCCCCCTGCTGCTCAAAGCCCCCGCCCTACAGTACTACCACCACTAGACTGAATCCCTCCTCCAAACAATATGTTGATAAAAAATTGTTAATTTATTTATTGCAATATACATACGATTAAGATCGATTTGTTAATATTTTTATCTATCTCTACTACCATTATCAATGAACCAAATATACTTATTGTGTCTAAAACCACAAAATGAGTTCCGAAAATTCCCTTCCAAATCCTTGCATTTTTGTTTAATATGCCTATGACAATAATTAAAAGATATTTTGGAGAGGTCAAAAATGTTTAGAGGAATAGTTAAATAAAAGATGTAATATAGATATGATATATAGATACAACAATACGAACAAAATCGTGGTCGAAACGTGTCCAAATGGTATATTGGACGATCTACGGAACTCCATAAGATTATAGCGTGATCAAAAACAATATAAGGCATTATTTAAACATTGAAAGTCATCTTTAATGCACACTATATTAGGTCTTAATTTAAACACTTGCGTCAAAGACTAATAATAGTGCAAAATGAAAGCTCGTAAAATTCTACAACTTATTGCTATACGCGGAAGAATAAAGATCTGTTGACGTTTTAGATGTTTTTGACTTAACGCGCAATTCTTAATGCACTGTTAGCAATATAGCAGGTACAGACCGCGAGGAAAAGAGACGGCTAAACGGCGACGTATAATGGACCACGCATTTGAATAAGGAACCCTCTGTGGGAATAGTGAACCCCCATTTGATCTACGACAGATGAATTAGTATAATTAGCATTGATATGAAGTATGCTACTATACCGTAAGTCTTCGGAACACTGGCTCTTAGGCTATTAGGGCATGACTATTGTACCGTTGGACAGCCATTGTACCTCTGGACAAACCATTTTAATTTAACTTAAAATATAAAAAAATGCAATTTAAGACGACAACATTTATGAAATATTTGGTACAGATTAACTATTTTGCACATGTGCAATAATGCTGCTTTGTTTTAGACCCATGGGTCTGAATACCCAAAAAGTTCGAGAGCCTGCTTTTGAATTTGCATTAAAGAAAAATAAATCAAATATCCCTAATTCCTGACATGAGAATAAAATGGCTGGCATTGGATAGCCTAGGTGTTTTCGTTTACGTAACTCTCATTTATCTTTGCGGAAGCCTGAGGCGACGAGTGTTGCAAGAGCTACCAGTTTCAATAGACATAATGTGAATTGCTTCTTTGACAATCTGATAAAATTTTTTGACTAAAATAATTTTTAGTATATACTTTTTAGTGTTTAAAAAGTATAGACTAAAAAATATTTTTTTAAATTAAATTTCTACAGTAATCTTCTGCTTTTATGAAGTGAAATTGTAAATATTTAGGTTCCTTAGACCAAATACTTTAAGAAATTTAATACAATTCGACATGAGTCAACTAGCCTATTGTCCATAAGTACAGCATTTTCCAAAGGTAAAAATTAAACACGAGGCTTTAAAATCTATTTGATTTAGATCTGTTGAATTTAATTTAAATTAGCGACAAAACATTGCACCTCAAACTGTGTATATAATAGATCCCATAAATTATAATAAAAGAGAAAAAAACATCTTAACAAATGGATAAAAAACTTGCTTTTTAGACATAAAACTTCTATGAGACAGTAAAATCGTCAACTGTCGCCGAATAAAATGACAGATAGATTAATGTTGCCATATGACAAAAACCGGTTATGGATGCGTTCACTTAATAAAAAATCGATTAGGATTCTCCTTGAAATCGATAGTGTCCAAAGGTAAAACAGTCTAAAGGTACAGCACTTACCCCTAAGTATTTGAACAGTTTCAAATGCGTTCAATTAACAAACATTGATTTTACGTACTATCAGTATGTTTTTCGAATTTTTTCACGGAGCTCATGGTTCACAGTGACGCGCGGACCGTTGAAAACTCAAGATTGCGGCATCTTGAGTTTTCAACGGTCCGCGCGTGACTGCGAATTAGGGATATTTGATTTATTTTTCTTTAATGCAAATTCAAAAGCAGGCTCTCGAACTTTTTGGGTATTCAGACCCATGCGTCTAAAACAAAGCAGCATTATTGAACATGTGCAAAATAGTTAATCTGTACCAAATATTTCATAATCTGTACCAAATATTTCATAAATGTTGTAGTCTTAAATTGCATTTTTTTATGTTTTATGTTAAATTAAAATGGTTTGTCCAGAGGTACAATGGCTGTCCAACGGTATAATAGTCATGCCCTAATAGCCTAAGAGCCAGTGTTCCGCAGACTTACGGTATAGTAGCATACTTCATATCAATGCTAATTATACTAATTCATCTGCCGTAGATCAAATGGGGGTTTACTATTCCCACAGAGGGTTCCTTATTCAAATGCGTGATCCATTATACGTCGCCGTTTAGCCGTCTCTTTTCCTCGCGGTCTGTACCTGCTATATTGCTAACAGTGCATTAAGAATTGCGCGTTAAGTCAAAAACATCTAAAACGTCAACAGATCTTTATTCTTCCGCGTATAGCAATAAGTTGTAGAATTTTACGAGCTTTCATTTTGCACTGTTATTAGTCTTCGACGCATGTGTTTAAATTAAGACCTAATATAGTGTGCATTAAAGATGACTTTCAATGTTTAAATAATGCCTTATATTGTTTTTGATCACGCTATAATCTTATGGAGTTCCGTGGATCGTCCAATATACCATTTGGACACCATTTCTATGAGACAGTAAAATCATCAACTGTCGCCGAATAAAATGACAGATAGATTAATGTTGCCATATGACAAAAACCGGTTATGGATGCGTACACTTAATAAAAAATCGATTAGGATTCTCCTTGAAATCGATAGTGTCCAAAGGTAAAACAGTCTAAAGGTACAGCACTTACCCCTAAGTATTTGAACAGTTTCAAATGCGTTCAATTAACAAACATTGATTTTACGTACTATCAGAATGTTTTTTCGAATTTTTTCACGGAGCTCATGGTTCACAGGCACGCGCGGACCGTTGAACACTCAAGATGCCGCAATCTTGAGTTTTCAACGGTCCGCGCGTGACTGTGAACCAGAAGGACACATTTTGAGCGCCCGTGATGTATCTAGGGTATATATTATATTCATATCGTTAGTTGCGATTCTTTAATATAAAATAATTTCTGGAGCACATGCCTTCCCTATGGATAGAATATGGTGGTTGGGCTATGGCAGACCACGTGGCTGCTAACAACTGCAGATGCAGCCGATGGACTAACGGCTTAACGCGCTTTCGGAAGCCCAGAGGATATTTAGATTGCTGCGAAAAAAACCGGTATCGGTCTTGTAACTTTATCGAAAAGCAATCCCTTCAGGTTATATTCATACTGCTCCTAAGGCTACTACGATTCTATGAGCTTCTTCTTTGGCGAAAGCTCCTTCGATACATAGGTACAAACCTATTCGCTCTTAGTGTTTGTCACATTCGTTAGAAATTGATCTTTCTAAATATTCCTTGTCTCATAGGATATAAGTAAACAAGAAATGTACGTAAAATAGATATAAGAATTTGAGAAATGAGTAAAACAGAAATGTTAACATTAATGCATAACTTAAAATAAGAAAGAACATGTAACACCATAATGTAACACAAGAAATATATGTAAAAAAGGGAATAAAGCGCAAAAAAATGAGGTGCAAAAAAAGCACCTAAAGAGGGTAATAATATTAATAAAAAAATAGAAAGAAAAATAATTAAAAGAACAAAGACCTGTCACAAAACGGGGGAAACCGCAGTAAGAAAAAACCTTATCGACGCAACGTAAATTTAATGATTTTTGATACTGCATTCGCACCCGTTTTGTTTTGTATAAAATTTTATTGATCTCACGTGATGTTGTGCTCAATGGAAATTGCCTTGAGATGAGTTTTCCCCTGTTTTTATGAAAATATCAGAAAATAAGAGATGCGTTTTTAATTTTCTGTCGTTGTTCACAATTATATATTTACTAGCTGACCCAGCGAACTTCGTGCTGCCATAAAAAATAGGGGTTGGTGGTGGAAGGGTGAAAATTTAGGGTTGTATGTATTTTTGAATGCTGTATCATAAAAAAATAAAAAAATAAATCTAAATTTGAAAAAAAAATTTAGGGGTGGATTACCCTTAACATTTAGGGGGATGAAAAAGAAAGATTACATCCGATTCTCAGACCTACTGAATATGCATATAAAATTTCACGAAAATCGGTCGAGCCGTTTCGGAGGAGTTTAACCACAAACACCGCGACACGAGAATTTTATATATTAGATAAAATTGCCATGTGAACTATAATTTATATAGAATAAGCAAATCGATTCAAAATTATGTAATATCAGAACTACTAATCTTCAACAAGTACCCGAAGGGACTGAAGTGGGAAATAAACGGTATGATAGCCTCCGATCAATAATTACCGAATACATAAGTGTTGATTCTGCTTAGTCAAAGTCCTAGTCGAGTGTCAGTGGTGTTTCATTAGTTTTGATTTTAATACAGTTTCCAGAACACAAAATCCTATACATTCCTTTGTTATGGATATTTATATGATAAAATTAAATTGGCAAGCTGAATTTTAGAGTTCCAAGTAGATACCCTCGAAACAAAATAACTCCTCTATCTATCTGCATATAGCAGAAAAGTCCTTAGTACTAACACGCCTATTTCTTGGTTTTGCAGAACAGTAAAGAAAGTAAATCACTTGTTCAGCAATTGGTTACAAATGATTGCTTCAGTATTATCATCACTGTAATGTTATTTTGTAACCGAATTATTATGTTATCTGCAACGGGATTGATGTTATCATAATACCCTGGTTCCCAATATATTTACAAATACACATTTTATAAACTTAGCATATATGTATGCACAAAACAATATCTTTAGCGCGATTCAGCGTATATACCAAATATTTAACAAAACACGTACTTGCAATCTGTAACCGAACTTTTTGGCTAACACTTGTGACACTTTTCAGTTATTCATAATGGTTTTTGTGCTTGCGAATAAATAGCACAAAATAGTTGTTGTTGGGCTCTATGTAAATAATCACCTCAAGTGTGTTTGATTATAATAGTACATTGCTATGTTACAGATTTCTTAAAACGAATTTGACAGCATATAACAAAATAATGGTTTAATACATTTTAACTGAACGCAATTAAAGAAAATTTTACTAGAAAAAAATCCACCTGGACCAGGCAGGAGACGGTACTCGAAGTTCAAGAAATTAAATGATTAAAGAAATAACAAATATAACTAAACTCAATTAACTGAAATGCTAATGCAAAATTCAACAGAACAGTTGATCTATGACTAACTGAGAATATATGTATTAGTAACCAAAGTTTGACTATTAATCGGTTAACTCAACAAGTTTTGTAAATAACTTTTTTCAGTGTATTAAGACACACTCATTACGTTAAGTTAGGCCATTAGGTCTGGAGCCATTAATACGAGATGATATGTAACCAGTTAGAATCAAAATCTTTGATTAGAAGGAAGAAAGAAGGAATTAAATTCGGTCAGAGAAAGTATGTTATACAAAAGGAAAATATATATATATATATATATATTCCTATATAAATATATTATTGAAATGTTTTATGCGTTTACGTTACATGCGTTAAAGGATAAAATCGAATATTTGATGCAATCCTCACGTATTTTTTTTTGTACGAAATTATTACTATTACTTGTAAAATTACAAATCCTGTCAAACTGTGATAGTTTATATTTTAATTTAATTGTATATAAACATTGTAAATAGCATAATTTTTTCACATTGCTAGAAACACTCATTTTCGCTGGCAAGGCTAGTAAAAGCTTGTATTTTGACGCTTCATATTTTACAAAATTATTCCTCAACAAAAAGTTGTTTTCACAAGTTATATTTTTCAAACGCCTATCCAACATAATACCGTACAATATTGCTTGCGTGACAAAAATTAACCTCCACTTTATCTTAAATACATTTTTTAAGATTTTTTCTGGCAAGTCTGTCGTAAGTGCGAAAATGCAAGATTTCCTCTACTAATGGACTCTTAGCTAAAGTGCGAAGATTCCTGTTGGATAAACCAAAAAAAACTCAAAATAAATGGTTTAAACAAATCTACCATCAATCAACAACGACCAGAGAGTAAATTAAAATTAACAATGGCATTTGGATCGATCTTAAACGTATATTATTTTAAAATAAATAAATAATAACATTTTATTATCAACGTGATATCAATTGGAGTTTGGATTCAGTCTAATGGTGGTAGTACTGGAGGGCGGGGGCCTTGAGCAGCAGGGGGGCGGCCTTGATGAGGGCAGGCGCGGCGGTGGGGGCGGTGTTGTGTACGACGGCGTTGAACCCGCTGTGGTCGTCAGCGGTGTACTCCACGGTGCGCACGGAGCCGTCAGCCTCGTGGAACGAGTACGAGCCCTTCACCACGTCGCCGTCGCGGGACTCCTGCTGGGACTTGTTGTCGCCTGTGTGCCCGTCAGCCACAGAGTACGTGTACTCATATTTGGGGTACGCCTGATGAGAAATTATATTTGTCAACATCAACTATATATCCTCTCGATGAATATTTGTTAGTTGAATTGGGCTACTTACGATTTCCTCTTGGTGAGCCAAGATCTTGGCGACGGGAGCAGCATGGTAGGCGACGGGGGCGGAGGCAGCGTGGTAGGTAACGGCGGCTGGGGCAGCGTGGTAGGCGACGGCAGCGGGCGCGGCGTGGTAGACGGGGGCGGCAGCTACCAGCTTGGCAGCTACAGCCTTAGGCTGGTCGTGGCGCACGATGCTCTGTGAGGAAACGGCCTCGGCGGGCGAGTAGTGGGCGGGGGCGGCCAGCAGGCCAGCGCGGGCTACTGCCACAAACGCGCACAGAGCTACCACCTGAAAAATATATATATTTATCAAAATAAGTATGTATGTATATATTTTTCTATATACGTTGAGGCCACGTCATGATGTAACTCATTGAATTGCCACTTACTTTAGAGAACATGATTCTAGTTTGTTGTATCAACAATTAGTGATACCGCTAATCTTTTGAGATTGATTATATAGTTACAAGCATTAGTAATAAGAATGTTTGTCGAAGACCTTGCCGCAGGTCAAAATGTGACAAATCTAGGCAACACTCACTGATAAAATACGCTTGTTATAGTTTCGAGCGTCGAATACTTGCTAAAGTAAAAAATATGTTTGCTTATTTATTACTAATTTTAATAAACGTCTACACATTTATTACATTTAATATATTTAAGAGTACTATAGCAAACAAAAAAAAACCGATCTGGCGCTTCAATCCGAATGGAAAACTCGCTGCGCGTACATCGCATTTAAGAAAATAATAGGTTGATATAGATATTGAAACCTTATAAAATATACTGTAGTATTCAATTAGATGAATTTAATCTAAGCTACATTTTCAAATGTTTAGCATAAGAATAAGAAACTGTTCAGTGTTCATACATCATTAACCAGCAATGTGAAACGACGTGTGCTGGTTAATGATGTATGAACACTGAACAGTTTCTTATTCTTATGCTAAACATTTGAAAATGTAGCTTAGATTAAATTCATCTAATTGAATACTACAGTATATTTTATAAGGTTTCAATATCTATATCAACCTATTATTTTCTTAAATGCGATGTACGCGCAGCGAGTTTTCCATTCGGATTGAAGCGCCAGATCGGGAAAATAACATTCAGGGCAAAATAATATCCACTTTGCGAACTGAAATGTTTATTTGTTAATTGTTTACATGGTTGTAATAAATAATATTTCCAGATTAAACAAAATTTTTGATATTCCAATAAATTTTTAAATTTTGCGGGAATGTGAGTGCACTGAACATTTCAAAGGTTGGACTTTCTTTAAACTTCTGACATTAACTTCATTGTTTTACGAATAAAAATTTTCTCCTAATGGAATGATCAGCCGTGCAGCTATTATGAGAAAAAAATCACTTTTCACCGCAAAATCCGTTTGAGATTCCACGGTTTTCGCGTTGAAATGTGAGTTTTTGCGTACAAAATAGCAGGGCAAGTTTGTTTTGATATTGATATTACTCATAATAATATGAAATAAATTACACGTAGTATATGTATAGATAAGTAGCACTATTTTTCCATCATAAGTCTTCAGTACAAATTGATTGCAGTAGCTGTACTCACCGATATTCTCCAAATGTTGATGTAAAGATGCAATGTGTATTGAGTTCGATCAACAATTAGACGTCTTATTATTTTAATAGTAGCAGAGTCTGTACCTTAAGGTTCTTATGGATTGTCAGCGATTTGAAAAGGTCTTCTAAGCATCTCCTTTTAATATTTTGATATCCTAGCAAATTTCATGCTTCAAATTGATGTTGTGAAGCTTTAAACAGTAAGGAAAAGCTCAAAATAGAATTAATTATCAGTGGCCACCATTAAAAGAATTTAAACAATATTTACGCAAAAAACAAATATTTTAGCCAATTTTTCTAAATTCAATGTTTATCTCAAACCAATTTCAAGTAATATTTACTTATACTCATATACTTAAAAACATAAATCACAATTATTATACATAATTATTAAAGTAATTTAATCATGTATCATAAAAATAAGTTACAGTTTCGTTGAATTTCCTTTTTGTATAGAATAAAACGTACTAGAAGTTAATTGACTGCCTTTCTTTACACAGATAATGAGTATAGATCTAGTATCTTATTATTATATACGGCATAAATGCATCCTTCCAAGGTAAATATTTATTTTCAAACTCATTCAATAAATTTATAATATAACTATAATGAACATAAGAAAATTTTACTAGAAAAAAATCTACACGGACACAGGCAGCAGACTGATTGTGAGTTACCTACAATGCAAAGAGATGGCGCTGTCTTGCAGCTTAAGAATGCCAGGAAAAATTCGACACGGCCATCAGGGCCGCGGTAGCATAATGGTCAGTGTATTCGCCCGGATAGTGAAGGGTGCGGGTTCGAGTCCCGTCTGCTGCCTGTTCCGCATGGAATTTTTTCTAGTAAAATTTTCTTTAGATTTGAACAACTAGTAGTTACATGCTAAAATGATCAAAAATATAAGATGACAATTTCAATAGTATAAATCGTAATCGTAAAAATATGAATGAACGTAGGAGCAAGGTTACTATCTGGTTTGACAACTACCTAATAGGTTGATCATGCAACTGATACTTAAGCTCAAATACTATATAAACGAATGGCTTTCAAATAATATTTAGTTCACAACAAGCAAATCTCTGAAATGTTCTCCAAAGTAAGTTACAGGCTTTGGTAGAGATACCAAATTAATATTCAGCGGATGTTTAAAAACAATTGGAGGGCTGCATTTAAATTAGCAAACCAACTTATTACTACAGCATAAATAATGATTTGACTTTCAGGTGGTAGTTCTGTGTGCGTTTGTGGCAGTAGCCCGCGCTGGCCTGCTGGCCGCCCCCGCCCACTACTCGCCCGCCGGGGCCGTTTCCTCACAGAGCATCGTGCGCCACGATCAGCCCAAGGCTGTGGCTGCCAAGCTGGTGGCCGCCGCCCCCGTCTATCACGCCGCACCCGCTGCCGTCGCCTACCACACTGCCCCCGCCGCCGTAGCCTACCACGCTGCCCCCGCCCCCGTCGCCTACCACGCTGCTCCCGTCGCCAAGATCTTGGCTCACCAAGAGGAAATCGTAAGTAGCCCAATTCAACTAACAAATATTCATCGAGAGGAATATATAGTTGATGTTGACAAATATTATTTCTCATCAGGCGTACCCCAAATATGAGTACACGTACTCTGTGGCTGACGGGCACACCGGCGACAACAAGTCCCAGCAGGAGTCCCGCGACGGCGACGTGGTGAAGGGCTCGTACTCGTTCCACGAAGCTGACGGCTCCGTGCGCACCGTGGAGTACACAGCTGACGATCACAGCGGGTTCAACGCCGTCGTACACAACACCGCCCCCACCGCCGCACCCGCCCTTATCAAGGCCGCCCCGGTGCTGCTCAAGAGCCCCGCCCTCCAGTATTATCACCACTAGACTGAATCCAGACCCTAAATAATATGTTGATGACAAATAGTTAATTTATTTATTGCAATATACAGACGATTAAGATCGATTTTTTGATATTTTTTCCCCTCTCCAGTTCCCTTATCAATTAATCCAAAAGCTATATGTAAAACCTCAAAATGATTTCCAAAAACTCCCTTCCAATTCCTCGCACTTGTCCATACGATTGAAATGTTTTGTAGAAGGCCGAAAATGAACCATGCGGTTTATTATAGCGGAATACTTTTAATCAAAAAAAAATCTGATGTTGCGAGTGTTTGCTACAAAATAATATTACAGATAACTATCATTATATTCCTACTACTGGGGCACAGGCCTTGCCTATGTATGGAAACGGGAAGTTTGGCCGACACACGGACAAGTTGCGGGTTCGTGGGTACTAACAATTGCAGATTCAGCCTAAGCACTAAGGATATTGAGATTACTTGGAAGAAACCGGTATTGGTCTGGAAACATTATCGAGAAGCAATGCCTTCAGGCTAAGACTTACGGCTCTTTAAACTCCCTCTTCATCGAAAGCCCTTTCAATACATAGGTGCAAACCAATTCGCTATTAGCGGCACAATATTTTAAATATATAAGATTCCAATGTTTCTAAATGTTCCTTGTTGACGCTGTGTGAACTTGGTGATATTGCATTCGTCCTCGTTGTGATTTATATAAAATTTCATTGGTCTTACGTGATTTTGTGCTTGATGAAAATTGCTTGCAGAAGTTCTAACAGGAAGCTATTAGATGATTCTTCCTCAATTTTATGTGAAAGGCGGCGAATTAGAGGCATGCACTGAATTTGCTGCCGCTGTCCAATTCAACTATTGCAAATTATGCATTACTAGCTTTTGCCCGCGACTTCGTCTACGTGCACTAAGTGATTCAGCTAATTTTTTACAATTTTATATAAAAAAATATATAGTTAGTCGTTTTATATTTGAAAGCATAAATAACGTGTCAAATTCGGGGTATTATAAAAAATCGAGGCATTCCCTGCTCATTACAATGAGTCCAATACATATCCAGTTTTTTTTTTTTTTTTTTGTTTCCTCCCAGGCGGGGGAGAGGGTGAGAAATCCATCATGGATACCCTACAGCCGGCTGTAAGGTTATGTCAGACTCCTACTGACTAAAAAACACCCTTTATTCATCCTTATGGCCAGAAGGGCCTTACAAGCTTCATCTGAAGCGATCACCCCCCGAGAGGGGGATGATGCGGCGCTGCGTTAGTTTAAACTAGTGCATAGTTTAAAATAACGCAAAATGCGCTTAGAGGACAAGTGCACTCAGATGTGCACTTGAAACGGGAGGGGACTGAGAGGAATCGAACCTCTCTGTGTCGGGGGGGCGGGGGGGACTCACCGCGGGTGTTGGATCCTCAGCGGCCAAGAGGGCCGCGAGATCGCGCGTGAGTTTATTGTGTGTGGCTGTGAGTGCGTGTTTGGGCCTGCGGGGCCTGAATCGAGATGGAGTGTGTGGAGCGTATCCCGACGCCGATCTAATGAGTGTGTTAGAGTGCTCTTCTGCAGCTTTGAAGAACCGTTCCGAGCACTCTGTGAGGTGTGTTTGAATTGTGTCGAGTTGTAGGTCCCTGTGGAGGTCCGCGTTGCGGACGTACCACGGGGCCCCTGTGGCTATGCGGCAGAAGCGATTTTGAAGCACTTGAAGTTTGTTCAAAATCGCTTCGTCCGCGTGTGCGAACACTGGTGACGCGTAAGTGAGGACCGGGCGTATGCAAACTTTGTAAAGCGTTCGCTTGTTACGAAGTGACATTTTGCTGTATTTACCGAGCATCGGGTGGAGGCGGCTCATATAAAAGCGCGCGTTCGCGACTACGCGTGTGATGTGTGCACGGAAGGTGAGTTTTTTGTCTAGTGTGATCCCTAGGTATTTGACTGTGCGGTGCCACGGTATTGCTATGCCTTGCATTCGCAGAGACCGCGCACCGTGTTGTATGGTTTTGGTGCGGCGCTTGGGATCGAAGCAAATGGCCGAACTTTTGTCCGGATTTACGTCGATTCTCCAATCGCGGAACCAATTCCCAAGTGTTGTGATTGCCGGTTGGAGCTTGGCTATGATTTGATTTGTACTGGCTCCCCTAGAGTAGAGGGCCGTGTCGTCCGCGAAGAGAGCGAGCTCGACACCCTTGGTCTGAGGGATGTCATTGGTGTACGCTGTGTATAGCAGGGGGGAGAGAGCGGACCCCTGCGGTACACCGGCTCGTAGTGGGCGGGGCGTCGATAGTGAACCTTCGTATCTATAGCGGAAGGTGCGGTTTGATAGAAAAGAGGCTACTAACCTAACTAGGCGGTCAGGTAATTTTAATTGATATAATTTAAAGATTAATCCGTCGTGCCAAACCTTGTCGAAGGCTTTGGCGACGTCGAAGAAGACTGCAATAGTTTTATATTTATTATGTTGGAAGCCGCTTAGGGCGTGCTCCACTATGCGATGGATCTGTTGGGGGCAGGAGTGTTTGGCTCTGAAGCCGAATTGGTGGTCAATGATAATTGGATCGGATGGTGATAGGAGGTGCTCTCTTAGTCTGGTCAGTATGGTTTTTTCGAAAAGTTTCGCCATTGCCTTGAGGAGGCTAATAGGGCGATGGCTACTGGGGAGGTGCGCGGGTTTTCCGGGTTTGGGGATGCCTATCACTATTGCTTCTTTCCAGGCGGCTGGGAAGTAGCACAGATCAAAACATGCGTTAAAGAGAATTGCAAGCAAGGTTAGCATTTGGATGGGAAAGTGCTTGAGCGCCTTGTTAGAGATGCCGTCGGGCGCCGACGGGGCCTTGCGTTGCTTAAAGTTTCTAATGGTCTGTCTGAGTTCGTCTGTCGTGACGGGGTCTAGGGGGTTGTCAATGAGTGGAAGGGCGGCCCGCCGGCGGACCTCCTCCTCCACTCCGCGAATATGTTGCGGGTTAGTTTCCTGCGTACTAGGCGTGCATTGCGCCGCTATGCTGTCTGCAAAACACTCAGATTTTTCGTCGTCTTCGAAGGCGACGGTGCCGTCGGGGCGAGTGAGCGGGGGGGTGTGGGTGGTAACGTCGCTACGGAGCGCTTTCGCGATTCTATAGTACGCAAGATGGGATGGGGTAATGTCCGCCATGAGTTCCTCCCAACGGGAGTGTCTCAGAGCGGCTAATTGGGACCTAACTTGTCGCTGAAGGCGATTAGCTGTAGCCCTATACTCGGGGGTGGGGTATAATTTGGCTCTCCGGAGAGCGGCGTTTTTGGCTTGGATTAGGTTCCGGATGGCCAGCGGGAGCTTGGGCTTTGGCAGCTCAACCTCCCGCGAGTTTTCCTTCGCCTTCTCGGTCACCAGTGAAGTTAAAGAGTCTATTGTTTCGTCAATCTTGTCGGTGCTGTCGAGACTGTCCGGTGAGTTAGGGAACGGGGACTCGGGGGAGTCTAAAGCGGTCTCGAGAGCGGAGCGGTATCCGTCCCAGTTGGTGAATAGCCTCTTAGGGGGCGCGGAGGCGTCTAGTGGGTCTTGGGGACCTAGAACTAGAGACACCGGTCTGTGATCTGACCCCAGGTCGTGAGGCGAAGCGACACGTTTTTAAGGATCGCGAAGTCCAGGACGTCGGGTCGGTTTTGTACATTGTCTGGGTAGTGGGTGGGCGCGTAGGGACATATGACATCATAGCCAAGCTCCTCGGTGATGTGTAGTAATCTGCGGCCAGAGGTGGTGGTGGTCTCGCATGTCCAGTCGGTGTGTTTGGAGTTAAAGTCACCGAACATTATGACTGATGTACCTAGTGAAGTGAGTGTTTCGAAGTTTGCGCGGTGAGGGTGTGTACCTGATCTAATGTAGACTGAGGCGATGATTAAGGACTGGTGTCCTGTCATCGCCAGCCTACAGATGGTGGCTTCCATGTTTGTGAGCGCGGGAGTGGGTATAGGTGTGCAGTGTAGGTTGCGTCTATAGTAAATGGCAGTGCCGCCGCGCGCATTGGCACCGTCGTTCCGGATTAATTTATACTTAGGGATCGACAGCCCCTTCATTTGAGTTGGTTTGAGCCAAGTCTCCTGAAGGAGCAGAAAGTCGGGTTCCCTATCTTGCAAAAATAATTTAATTTCGTTAAAGTTGGATTTTAAGCTGCGCGTATTAAATGACACAAGCGAAGCGCCTTTCGGCTTGGTACGCCCGGGGTTTAGTTGAGTGATTGTTATGTTAGTGTTTTGCGCGGTCATAATTTAAACAACAGTGGTGTTTGTTTGAGTTATCACCGCGTGTTTTGTGTATAGTGTTTTTGTTTGTGTTCGGAGTCTGGTTATTTTCCAGTGTTATAATGATAAAAAAGTAATCGAACGCGGCAACGAGTTCGGGGTTTTCGGCTATAGCTATAGCCTTTTCAAGGGGTGTCTTTGCTAGCCGGAGCTTCGCGGCGAGAGTGTGGATCTCGGCGATATTCACCCTCTTGAGCGAGGAGCGAATAAGCGCCATGTCCTCGGCCAGAGAGACGTCTTGGGCTGGCTTAGCTTGTGTTGTTGGTGTGGTGTGTTGTGGTGGGTGTGGTTTTGGGCGGGCCCTGGCTGGTCCCCAGGCTGTCGGGGGCGCCGGGCTGCGAGGGGCGGCCGCCTTGGGTAGCCCCGGGAAGTTTGTGGTGGTGTTGTTCGGTGGTGGTGGGTGTGTTTTTGTCGCCGTGGTTGGCTTAGTGTGTGTGTGAGTGTGAGTGTTGGGCCTGGGGCGTGGGGCCCGCGGGCAGCCCCTGTAATTGGCCGGGTGGCCTTCTTGGCCACAGAGCACGCATGCGGGTGCCCCGGGTGTGTCACGAGTGCGGGAGCACTCCTTGGTGAGGTGGGGTACGAGGCACTTAACGCACCTCGGGGCCGCGGAGCAGTTGGCTGCTGCGTGGCCATATAATTGGCACCTGTGGCATTGCCCAGGGGTGCCTCGCCGGTGTGGGGCCTCGACTTTGATATTGTCGAGGCCACAGACTGTTATGGGACCTTTGAAAATATCCCTAGCTGCCGGGACCGAGGTCAAAATGACAAGGGCCAACGGATATTGTTTCCCAGTCCGGCTGTGCAATTTGTGCACTGCCTCGGCTGGG